GAAAAATTAAAACGTAATTCACTATGATAGACTCTATAATATTTCTAAAATGCCAAAAATCTAGACAGCATGGCAACTTGACTTTTAGTTGTATATGACACACATACGAGGTCTACTATGTGATTTGTATTTGAGCATCAGAAAGTGTCATAAATACGTGGCTACTTTAATAAATCCAGAAAAAAATCTTTCTGTCGTATGGAAAAAAAACAAGTTTTATTTCTCATCTCTACTATATTTTCAAGAGCTGTATTTCTTGCTTTTGTGGTAAGTCTTGGTAAAGACTTGTTAATAGTAACTGAGAAATATAGTGCCTTTATAATATAGCTCTTTATTGGATTTTTTTTTACTGTAAATTCATTACTTTGCTCAAGTATTTGACTCTATTTTTGTCATTCTTGCCACTATTCTACTGAAACAAATTGCTTTATTTTTATTTTTTTAACATCTTTATTGGAGTATAATTGCTCTACAATGTTGTGTTAGTTTCTGCTTTATAACAAAGTGAATCAGCCATACATATACATATATACACATATCTCTTCCCTCTTGTGTCTCCCTCCCACCCTCCCTATCCCACCCCTCTAGGTGGTCGCAGAGCACTGAGCTTATCTCCCTGTGCTATGTGGCTGCTTCCCGCTAGCTATCAATTTTACATTTGAAACAAATTTCTTAATACAAATTTTCACCACTTTCTATCTCAATCTTCCATGGTAGTATTTATAAAAAAGACTTTTACATATTGCAAAAAAAGATGTTTGTATTCATTCATTCAAAGAATATTTATTATGTGCCCATATGTGCCAAGGACTAAGGCTGGGGAAACAAAAGTGAACAAAACAGACAAAAGTATATGCTTTCATTTACCTTCTTTTATGGTGTGGGGAAACAGACAATAAACATAATAAAGAAATCATATTTTTGCCTTAAAAGATGATAAACCAGACAGAGAAAAATATGTATCAGGGTATATAGAAGCATATAGTTTACTGTAGAAAGGCTTTTTATGATAGAGACCAAACTATATTAATTGAAAAACTTACAGAATTCCTAATATAAAAGCAGTTACAATATGATATAGATTTTTATTCAATTTTACTTGTATATATTTGACATCGTTTATTGGTGGGATGCTGTGTTGGACACTTTCAAATAGAAAACTGATTTAATTTCACCATACAATCTCATGAAGTAGGATTCGCTACTTCAACTATACGTCTGAGAAAACTCTGATGTGGGGAGATTACATCACTCTCCCCATTGGATGAAGCACACGAGTGGCAGAGCCAGAATCCAAATCTAGATTTTTGATTCCTTACATGGCTGCATCTAACCCTCCAACTAGTTTATTACGACACTCTATCCTAAGGCGGCATAGAGGCTTCAGATTTTGAAGTCCTTCCAACAAAAATAATGTGTTCGGTTATAAAGCAACTTTCGTGTAGTCCAGCAAAGTGATTTCTGAGGGGCTATTCTGCAGATCTCTCAGGAAGAAGGGAGAGAAGGGAAGTGACTCGGGGTTCAGAGTGTCAACATCCAGTAACACACATTCTTTTCTAAATTCTCCGCAGCAGACCCGCAAGTCTTAAGTTCAGTTGTTGTAGTGATAGCCAGGTTAAATGTATTCTTCCACTAAAAATATACCCTCAAACTTGTAGGAGTCATCAGGAGCTCTCCTTTCCAAAAGTGCTGCTCCGGGCATTTGATAATCCCGCATTTGCTGGTGCGGTTGACATAACTGTATTTCACATCCACAGTGCATGCCCCTGTTGTTGCACCAGGTAAAACCGTTCTTGCCCCTTGGTATTGGGCCATTCTGCTGATACAGGGTGTTATAAATATTATGACAGGGGCAGTTTGTATAATACAACATAATTTGGCAGGATAAGACAACATAATTTGACAGACAAACTCATTTCCTATTTATTCTCTGTAGTCTGAGACATGAGTTAAAATTCCAGTGTGTTATAAAGGTTGTGATAAAATATGGCCAGTAATTAACACTTTATTTAAAATATGCTCTCTGGGCTTCCCTGGTGGCACAGTGGTTGAGAGTCCGCCTGCCGACGCAGGGGACACGGGTTCGTGCCCCGAGCCGGGAAGATCCCACATGCCGCGGAGCGGCTGGGCCCGTGAGCCATGGCTGTTGAGCCTGCGCGTCCAGAGCCTGTGCTGGGGAGAGGCCACAACAGTGAGAGGCCTGCATACCGCAAAAAAAATAAATAAATAAAAATAAAATAAAATAAAATATGCTCTCCATAAGATAGGCCGGTAAGAACTATGCTGCTCTTACTTAAACTGATCATGGTTTGGGGGATGGGGGTGGGAAAGAGGGATTATATCTTTCAAAATAATAAGAACTTAAAGTTTGAAAATACACTGTCCTCATGTGAAATCACCGCTGTACCCGAGCCAGCTGTAATCGAGAGGGGCATCCTGTGATTGTGAAAGAAAATAATGTGAGAAGGGAAATCTGGACACTGTGTTTCGCTTGAGTGACACTGATATATTTGGAAGCATCCGTCTTCCCCTTTCACCTAGATGCATGTTTGTTTATTTTGGCCTCCTATGGGCTACTGTCTCCCTCTAATTCCTGAGTCCAAAGGCTCAACCAGTAGTTGGTTTCAAATACTCCTTCTTAATTGTTTATCACTACGAACAATTACAACATTTGCTGGGGAGTTATGTCCCAGTTTGCAATTAAATTCTTGAGTTTAAATAGTTTCGTTATCAATAAAATGCAATGTCCTTTAACAAGGGAAAATATCTGGTCATGTTTTCCCAAAGTACCATGCACAGAAGGTGTGATAGCTGGTGTTCTCTTTCTTTCCTTTGTATTCATCACACACGTATTAAGAGCCTATGTTAGCATGTGTCAGGCAAAGCTCAGATACAGAAACAGTGTTCCTGACTCTCTGCTCTTTTTGACATATGATTATTTTAAAAACACATATATAGGACTTCCTTTATGCCAGGCACAGTTCTAAGCACTTTACAAATATTAAGTCCTTAATCCTCACAGCAGCCTTAGGAAGAAGGTACTGTCCAAGGTCACATGATTAGTGCCGGTGGAACCAGGGGATTCGAAGCCAGCAGCCTGGCTGCAGAGTTTGTGTCCTTCTGCACTACACCATGCTTTGTCTCTGAATTTTCAGATAGTCATCATTTGTATGCAATGAAAATAGGATATGGTTCCTGCCCTCAAAGGGTTTACAAGCTAAAGCTGTTTCTTCTTTCCATATGTATATTCAAAGATCAGATCTTGATAGAGCATTACGGTCCATTCATTTACTAGATATCTTCATTTATTAAGCATGTACGATGTGTACTAGAGACACAGGGACAATGCAGGCTGCCCATTAAGGAACTCACATCAGGGAGAGACACAATTTCATAAATGCTGATGGGAGGATGTATTTCAATGAAAAATTTCCAAAGAGGTACTGTTTGATTTGGAGTTTGCTAAACAGAAGAATGGAGAGGAAGGAATTGTTGGTTGAAGGCACAGTGGAGTCTGTATGAAGGAGCAGAATGGGATCACGAATGGAAATGACTAAGAGTACAACATGACCAGAGAAGGAAGATGGGGTCTAAGTTCAAATGACCTACATTCCTTGATAAAGATGTGGAATTGTTTCGGTCAGTAATGGGAAATAATGAAGAAATTTAAGGAGTGAAAAGACAGGGTACAAAATGTGTCTTAGATCACTGAAATGGACAGTTTGATTCAGAGCTGCCACTAAAAGTAATGTGGCTTCCCAATTTCATTTTTTACCTCTTCCCCCTCATCGGCCTCCTCCAACCCCTTTGTCTCCTCTTCTTTGGCCTCTCCCATTTTTTTTTTTCCTCTAACCCCCATCCACTTTCATCACTCCTTCCAGTGGTAAAAAATGTCTACTTTATCAAGGTTTAGTCACAGATTTTCAGGAAAACACATAGTATCCGCCATTAAACCGTATAATGAATTTCAATGTCAGTATTCTTTCTACTTGCCAATTCAAAACTTCCCTCTTTTTTTTTTTTAATAAATTTATTTATTTATTTTTGGCTGCGTTGGGTCTTTGTCGCTGCATGCGGGCCTTCTCTAGTTGCAGCGAGTGAGGGCCACTCTTCGTCGTGGTGCGCGTGCTTCTCATTGCGGTGGCTTCTCTTGTTGTGGAGCACGGGCTCTAGGCGCGTGGGCTTAGTAGTTGTGGCTTGTGGGCTTAGTTGCTCCGCGGCATGTGTGATCTTCCCGGACCAGGGCTCGAACCCGTGTCCCCTGTATTGGCAGGCAGATTCTTAAACACTGTGCCACCAGGGAAGTCCCAAAACTTCCCTCTTGTTAACGGTATTTCAAACATCAGCGTGAGAAAGAAGAATATTTCTTTGGAGGAGCAATAAACCACTGAAGGAAGAACCTAAAATTATGATACTTAAGTGATACCCTCCCCTTCTCACATGAAGTTCCATCCTGCCTCATTGAGATGCATTCAAATTTTGCTGCGTCCTGATGGAGAGAAGCAGCAGCATTGTGCGTCTCCAGAGAGCTCTGGGATTGCTTCTCAGCTGCACTCCCCTGTCCTTCTGGTGCAAAATCCATCCTCCCTGAGTCTATTTCCTCTAATGTGTTTACCTAAAAGAACTGTTAAAAGATAAGGCAGTTGGAACTACTACAGAAAAGCACAATGCAGATGAAAAGCTTTGCTATTAATTTCTATTTTTCAGCCAGAGTTGAGCTCAGTATTTCCATGCCACGGTATTCCTCCAGGAACTCTGTATTTTAATGGCCTGAAATTTTCATCCTTCTGGAATAATGAGAAAAATACAGTTCACCTTTAGTTCTCGCAGATGAGGTTGGCTTTGTCCTGGTCAGCCTTTCAGAGGATCTGTCATTCCTTTACAGAGAAAAACTTAAAAGACAACTTTCTGAACGGCCCCCGATTTGCATTAACGATCTCCTTCAAGGGAAACGTGCTCCTTTTTCTCCTTGAATTTTTATGCCTTCTTTCTTTCTGTAGATCGAAGAGTCAATTGAGATCCACTTCGGCAGCCATGGCAGAAAGGCCGTTCTCTACAGGCCTCCTTCCTCCAGCAAAAGGGAGCTTCAGCTCCACCAGCGCATTCTCACTCGGCATCACTATGCGGTTGTCATCACTGAAGAAAGGTTCAGTGCCGACCCTGGGCTGGGGCTACTAGATAAAGGTCAGAGTCAGAATTAATTACCAAAGTAATTAATTAATTACCAAAGTTGCTTGTCTTCTAATTTAAATACTTCCTGAAATGTGCTACTCTCTTCCTCTAAAAAAATTCACAAGAACCAAGTTTTACCCATGATCAACTTGCTTGCATCATAGAAAACTTGGCGCCTTTTCTGCTTCCTCTCCATTTTCTTTTAGCTACATTTCTTTATTCCTGAAATTATTTTGTTTATATTTTTATAGCATTTTGGAGCTGCATAGTTCATCTTTAAATGCTACATAAAACATGTTTATGTTTATGAGTACAAATACATGTTCTGCCCAGCACCAAACTGCTCAATATTTTAAGAAAATTGCCACTTCATCTGACTGCAAGTAGAATGTGCTGGAAATTGTTTCGAGAAGCCAGCTTAAATGTGATTCACAGATTGGTTCTAAATGCAAAAGAAGTATAGATATTTATCTCACACGCCATTACTAGTCAAGCACTTTTTATTTCTGTCATTTGAAGTGAAAAATAGGAGACAAGTTTTTAAACAAGTTATTTGAAGAAAAAGTTGAGTAGGTGATGAGGGTCAAAAAGGGCAATAACAGTAACAGCTGACATTTCTTGAGTAACTAACCATGTGACATGTTGTATCCTGTATTCATGGCCTCATTTAATCCTCACTGAAGGCCCCTGAGTGCCCTAAGATTAAGAAATATTCATTCCTTCCCCAATTCCAGAAGAGGAAACAGGCTTGGAGAGGTGCAGTGACTCACCTTGTATCTTAAACCTGGGGTGATGGAAAGGCAGGATTTGAACTCCTGTGTTCCAGCTCTCACTTCTGTGCTTGCCCTCTTCACCTCCGTGTTGCCCACTCCCTCTTTTGGCCCCTTATCCTGCACTAACCTATCATTATTAGAGCTACCAGGATGTATAGCACTCGTTCTCCATGAGCCAATCAGATTTTCCTCTTTACGACAACACAGTGTATCCGTTTTCCTTTTTATCAAAAGGGAGGGGAGGAAAAGCAATTTGAATCCACTGCTGATCTCCGTGATGGTTTCCTTTGGGAGAAAAAGTCAGATCCCGGTGCCACAATAATTTTCATTTGTCATTTCACTTTCAGCCATCTTGACTTCCCGGTAGCACTTGCTCTTCAGTTAGGTTCCCCCTTGCTCTTTAAAGTGCTGGTTTATGCTGGTCAGTGGAAGAGGCTGGGGGACATTTAGCCATGATTACTCTTCACGACCTTTTACCATGTTGGCGGTAAAGTTATAAGCTGCTTAGCTAACAAAGCTCCCAGGGAAGAAAGCCCCAAGAGATCCACTTTGATGAAAAGAAAGTTCTTAAAAATGTGCAGAGGTCATTAGCACAGGTCTTCAGGAATGCCATTTGCTGGTCCCCGCCCCCAGGAGAAGTATGGAAATCTAGAGCTTTTGGAAACACATAAGAAAAACAAAAGGGAAGTTGAATGCTCTGGAATATCAAAGCAGCTGGAAACCAAGTTTACAAACCTCGCTGGGGTTGGTTCTATTAAGAAGGACCAATCTAAAGTTCTGGAACATCCGTAAATGATATTGTCAGAAAACCACTGATCAGAATAGCTGTTGTTGGTATTAAGGAAAGATGTAAAACATTTAGTCTTCCTCTCATCCCGTAAATTATTTTAGCCCATCGCTGAACCAGGTGCTTGACTGTATAACCACCGCCTTTGTGCCACATGAGCTGTGCTCCTGGAATCCTGCAGAGCATCGGCCCTGATAACACAACACTATTGTCTGAAATTCCCATGTTCTTCTGTCTCCTTCGTGCTGCTACTGACTGTGTATAGGCACAACTTGGATTATCTGTGCATTTCAACTTCAATTCCAGTTTTCAGTTTTCTCCAGTTGCAAAACAAGGAATATGGCTCTTCTCTCCCTTGATGTCCTTGAGTCAGTTTTACAAGAAAAAGGAGGATGACTTTGCAGCTTCCAAATACCAAGAAAGTGCAAAGAGAGCCTGAAGGCAATAGAATCTGGCAGCAAAGGGAGCTGCTGGGCCCGTAGCACGAGATAACTAGATGGTGTCACCAGAATTTATCAGTGCAAATACTGATTTGGCTCCCTTTCCCCACATTTCCTCAGCTTTGAAAATATCCATGCCTCTTTCTGGGTATTCTTTTACTTTGTATAGTAAGATATTTTTCCTGGATCAGCCTCAAGAAAGGGTAGCAGTTTCACACGTATGGGAAATTGGTTTTTGGTTCTTCATTTGATTTTGTAGTTTTCACTGTGAGAGCATGTGCATTGAATACCTGAGATAAAAAAAGTCCTATGACCGTCATCTAACATGTCCCTGATTATCTAACCTACAGAAAAAAAAGCCACTTTTTTATTGCAGCTTATTTTCCATGGCCACACATTTAATCTACAAATTATGTTTGAACTGAAGCCCTTACTGTCAAAAATATTTTCTAGAGATTTGATTCTTGTAAAAATTTTGTTTCTTTAGTTCCAAATAGCCACCCCATGCTTATTTTACTATGTGTACAGCAGCAGCGAGTGGGATGCTATATTGGTACACTTAAACTTCATCTCTCCATGTTGAGCAGCTTGGGGAAAGTGGAAGCAATTCAGAATGATCTGGAGACCTACCCCACCTCTCTTTCTTTTCACCATTGCTGTTTGCTAACCTGAAGTTTGAAAATATTACATGAAAAACAAAATAGGCACTCCCACAAAGTACTCAGGTGCAGATTTGACACATTTATAAAATACATTTTTAGTCCTAGGAAAATAAATATAAAATGCGTTTTCCCTATTCTACTCACTTATTCCACCTGCTTTCCAATCCTCTTTTGACTTGACCCCCACCATTTCTTCTGATCTCTTTTTTGTGCCATCCTTTGAAGCACAGGTGGCCTTTTTCCGGCATGGGGCCACTTTTTTTTTTTTTTTTTTTTACCATTTAAGGCCAGAAATGGATAAAAATTAGAAAAAATTAAAGGGTGCTAGTTCAGGCAGGCAACGTCCTACGATTAAGTATAATCTGTTCTTGCAGAGTCACATTTGGGCTTCATATTGTATTTAATTTTCCCACTAATTTAGTAAACATTTATTGAAAGGAAAAGTAACCAGTCTTGGGTTGTAAATTCAAATATGGGCATTATGTTTTTCCCCGGTTAATTCCATTCTATGATATAACAGAAATTGGTGGTTCTAACCGGAACGACTCTAAGGCTGTGTATACTTGACCTTAAGCAAGTTCAGTTCTCTGAGTCCTAGCTCTCTTATCTGCTAAACGCAGTAATGAATTTTTACTTCACAAGAGTGTGTAGTGAGAATTTAATCACTTTGTCCACACGCATCAGAGTTCTGGGAAGAAACAAAGTAAAGCCCCATCGATATTTTTCTCATTCAGTAGTCTGGTAGTGGGACCCAGAAATTTATATGTTAAAAACAGACACAGGTAATTCTGACATGTAACCTAGTTTGGGGAGCATTGTCCTAAGGGATATACTCTTGGTTCAAAGAATAGCAATGTTTAAAGTTAATTTTGGGAATAAAACGATACAAAAGTCTGCTTGCTACAATGCCATTGAACTACTTAAAATTTATTGGTATAGTTATGTACCAGCATTTTGACTTTAAGCTGATTTTGAGAACAGTAAGAGGACAATTGTCTTTACAGATTTATGCCTACAAAACTTAGCAGAATGTAAAACATATACATTTATGGTCCTTCAATACCCTTCTTTGGAAAAATATATCTTACGTCCCTGCATTTGTAAGAACGTGTAATTCTCTAAAGGAAAAGATTGGAAGGACCAACCAATTCTTCCCTTTCCTAGTATCTAGATAGTATTTAGTAAATCAGTGCTTTAGTAAGTGGAACAGTATAGTGGCCTAAAAGAGTAGGTGTTTTCCAAAAAAGTTCTTAACCTATTCCCATGGCAACATCCAAGAAGGGTGTGACTCAGGAGACTCTGATTCAACGGACTTTATCATTAGATCAGAATTATTTATGTATACTTGAAGAGTAGAGCATATTTAGCAATTTTCTGTCCACTCCTGAGTACATCCTGCACTGTTACATTAAGTGTATTATATAGTCAACGTGAAAAACAAATGCCAACTGCTATCAAAGCTACAGAATTGGAGTCACTCTTACGGTTTCAAATTGCTCTTGTTTTTGTAACTTGGGGGTTTTACATGGAATGGTTTTTGAAGAAGTACAGAAAGTGAAAGACCATAGAAATTTTCTTGCCAGGGGTTGGCAAACCATGGCCCACTGGCCAAGTCTGGCCCAACGCCTGTTTCTGTAAACAAAGTTTGATTGGAACACAGCCACGCATTAGTTTTTATACTGTCTTTGGCCTTTTTTCTACAACAGCAGAGTTGAGTAGTTGCAACAGAGACTGTATGGCTCTTAAGGCCTAAAATATTTATTATTGGGCCCTTTACAGAAAACATTTGCTGACCCATGGACCTAGACTAATTCTATGTCATCTGATTTCAGACCAAGCTGATGGTTAAACTCTAGGACTGAGGTAGGTTAGGTTTTAACTTACATCAAACCTCATTCAAAAAGGATTTGATGGTTTATAGTCAAACATATAATAATAAGATTACTAAAATGGAAATATAAAATTAGGGCTCAAACTGGATATTCCTCTTAGCTACCATAATTTCGGCTTAATTTTGGCTTGAGCTGCCAAGTACCCAGAGCAACAAGGGAAAGAATAGAGGTTTCGCTCTCAGGAAGGAGGGAGCTCTGTAATTCCTTCCGCTGATCTTCGACATGCCCAAGTAGTACATTTAAAACAACTTTTTCAAAGGGATTATTAAGTTGATGACATTATGTAACGGGTCAAGGGTCAGAGCAACATTTGTATTGCAGACGAAGTGGATGTCATATCTTGGTTCACAAAGCAACCTTCCAATGCGAGCTGAGAGTGTAACATGATAGCATGGTATAGTGAAAGCATTTCTAGGAAGGGCAAGGGTTAATACTGTGATAAATAGTATTTATCGATA